CTAATAAAATACAGAGTCCAGTCCTCCCTCTCTGCATTTATGCAGCCTCTCTGTGGTTGTTCCAATGCCGTCGCTCCGACTGAAACTGCTGTTTTATCATCTACGTCGGTGAATAAGGATTATCTTCACCAACACAGAGTTGTGACCTCTGTGGGTTGTATTCTGAGATGCTGTTGCTCTAGTGCGACATCTAGTGTAAAGAGTGGGAGTTAAAGTGTTTTAAAGTGCAGATGTTAGTTGGATAGAATGGAAACTACAGCGTAATCTATTACTATTAGTGTTATATTATTAGTGTAATCTATTACTAATCGTACTAACCTGGTCGTCCGCGGTGTTCAGCCCCTCGGCTCCCAGAAGCCGTGCGGCCTGATGGACCAGATCTGCTCGGCCACACGAGAGCATCCTGAAGCCCAAATCCAGCTGGAACTTGTCAGCAGCAGCTTCTGCATCCAGACATCTGAAGGACTGGAAACAGCTCTCGGACCTGTAGAGACACACAGAGAGTAAGAACCCGCCGTTTCTCCGGCGGCAGCGGCAGTGGCCTGTAACTGTGAAGCTCACTTCAGCTGTCTGGGCTCGCAGTCCAGACCCGGGAGGAGCTGCCTGGCCGTCTGTCTGATGTCGTCACTGTCAACCAACAGGCTGCGGCGATGTTCGGCGTGCACCACGGCGACTCTGATCCACTCCATGAGAGGAGGGAGGAGCAGGAACGGCCTGGGGGAAGGTCGAGATGCTGTCAGAGTCAGTGTGGTTGATGTATTTATTATTTATTTATTTTAAATTCTGATCTGAGAGCAGCTCAAAGTGTCTTTAAATGTAAACTTTAAACCTCTTCAGTCCGTTTTATTGCCATCATTTATTTTATTGTATTGGTGTTTCTCTTCTTTTTTATTTCTTATTGTCTCTTTAAATCTATTATTTAATGTATTTAATTAGATTTATTAAGATTTAGCCATTTAGCCACACACCTCTCTCTGTTCAGGGTCGTGGTCGGAGGCTCCAGGTTTGGGTTTTCCAGTGACTCCATCTGTGGGCTGGACAGGAAGTAGTAGAGCGTCCGGAGGGCGTCCGGAGCCCAGGATACTGACGGCTGATTGGTTGAGTGAGCGGCGCAGACGGATGTGCTCAAGCTGCGCAGTCGCTGCATGTGGTGCATCGCTCGAGACACCAGATCACCTGCAGGGACACGAGAACCATCATTACGACCCACAATGCAACAGTTCATGTGTTTCCTCTCATCGTTCAGCTCTGTGGTTGTTTTCTGACGCAGGATGAGGCTGCTGGTCAGAGACTGAATATAACTTCTGTTCAACTCTTCAGAGTTTACATCTTTAATAATAATCTAAACTTTAAACATAATAATTCACTGTAGTTTTCTCTCCACAGAAACGACCCACAGGCTGACATACAGACTGTGGAGACTATGTACTGTGAGGCTTTGGCGACCCCCAGTGGTTGCTTTGACTTAAACACATAATGTTTATAGGTTGTCAATGTATGAGTGTAGAATATGTGGATTCATTAACAAATATTACAAACTAATTATTATACAAAGTAATTATTGTTGTAATAAACATAAACTGTAATTCTTCAGGAACAAAGAAAAACAATTGTTTTATTATGAAGAAGTCTTCGGTTATATTCTAACCCAACTCAGTAAATTAAAGGTTTTTTTGGACCAAAACCAGAGTTGGTGATTGTTAGAAAGACAAAGACACTTTTGATGAGTTTTACTTTGCTTAAGTTTAAGCAAAATAAAAAATATTGGGCCCCTTTTTTTATGATTTAGTAAACTGTGACTTTGAAATTCATCCAAATCTCTGGTTTTGCATAAACTTGCTGCAGTTTATATATATACTAGTATTAGTAGTAGTATATATACTACTGTTTATATATAACGAATATGAATTATTCATAAAATATGTCACTGAGTCAGTTTATTAATGAAAGAAAGGTCCCTGTCAATCATTGGTTAAACAGCAATAATAAATGTAACTGAGGGAGAAATGTGAAAGCTGAAACAACAATAACACTTGAATCTACAGTGAAATAAACACAACACGGTGTGTTTAAGTGCTTTGTGCTCCATAAAGCTCCACACACAGAGAGTTCTGCTGTTTTCTCTCCATAATGAGCTACGGTGGCCTGGAGCGTGTGAGGGTGCCCTTGTTTTCTGGATACAAGCCACCGGTTGTTATGTAAGTGACGGGGGAGCCGGCGGCGTCTAACGATCTGTCCCAGGAGCCCGACGCAGGTTAAACAAACACACACACACACACTCACTGAGCTCAGCGATGCTGCCCACACCGGTGGCGAGCAGAGACTGCTCCAGCGTCCGCAGCTCCAGCTGGATGTAGGCGTCCTCCCGGCTCTCCATCGAGGCCTCAGGAACCTTCGTGTACGGGCTGACGTGGGCCGGCAGAGACAGCTCGCCTAAAAACACACAAACCTCAAATCAATCAAATAATTCCAGTTCTTTAAGCTGCCGTCAGCAGGTCGAAGTTCGGCTCTTCAGCGTCTCTCCAGGGGCTCTGACAGGCTCATCGTAGGGAGGATGAAATGTCTGATATTGTAAAAAAAAGGAAAGGTTACAGTGTAAAAGTCATTGTCCTTATGATCTGTTGACCTCGTTACAGGAAGAAACATCTCCAAACAAATATGAAGCAACACAATCACTTAAGATTTAAATAAGATTTGTAAAAAAAAACTTGATTGCAGTGGTCAGTACCTGGCTATATATGCAGAAGGTCCTGGGGTCAATCCCCAGTGGAAGCAGAACTATGTCCCATTACTACGAGACAGACGAATGTAGAACTGTTCCACAATAACAGACTCTGTGAGCCCACAATTTTTAATCTCATTAAGTTACGAATGTGGTTGTGAACACAGTTTAGTTTCTGCTTCCAGAGTCACATCACAACACAGAAGTTTACTTGTGTTGACTCTACTTCAAATCTAAACATTAAGTCAATATTCTGGTTCCACCGGGGATTGAACCCAGGACCTTCTGCGTGTAAAGCAGACGTGATGACCACTACACTATGGAACCACTTCAACACAGACTTTTGGTCATTCAAAGAAACCCTGATCAAAAAACATATCTGTAGCCAAAATACTTGCAGAAGGCCATACCAACACACCCTCAGTATTACTCCTCTCACAACACCAGACTATCTGACATCTCCCTCTCTACTAATCAACTTGGCCGAGTATTTCAAAACCTTTAATCTACATCAGAATTATCTGAATTTGTAATGCCTTTCTTTTCCATCGAAGTTTCACTAAAGACATTGTTCAAGTATTTTGGCAAATTTAGAATTATTCCACAATCAAAAGAAACCCTGACCAAAACATATCTGGCGTCAAAATACTTGAACAAGCCTTACCAACATATTTGGTCAAACTACTATCACAATACCAGTCTATCTGAGATCTTTCCATCTACCAATCATCTGGACAGAGTATTTTAAAACTTTTAATCTTGAAATCCCTTTCTTTGCCATCCCAGCCAAAACTGATCTTTTAGGTTTTGTCAGTTTTTTCCAAAGAATTGTCAGATAAGATAATTTTGATCCAGATAGAACAAGATTGTAAAATCTAGATTTGCAGTCTTGGGATCTGTTGCTCAACGTAATGCAACATTTCATTTTCACAGGTGTGAAAATGTTGGGCATTTCACATCGGAGAGTGTAGTGGTCATCACATCTGCTTTACACACAGAAGATCCTGGGTTCAATCCCCAGTGGAACCGGACTTATGTCCCATTACCATCAGACAGATGAACGTAGTAATGTGTTCTACAATGAGAGACTGTGTGACCCCACAATCTTTAATCTCATTGAGTCACGAATGTGGTTGTGAACACAGTTTAGTTTCTGCTTCCAGAGTCACACCGCAACAGAGAGGTTTACTTGTGTCAACTCTACTTTAAATCTAAACATTAAGTGAAAGTTCTGGTACCACTGGGGATTGAACCCCGGACCTTCTGTGTGTAAAGCAGACGTGATGACCACTACACTATGGAACCTCTGTGAAGTCTTGATTTTGGTCAATCAAAGAAACCCTGATCAAAAAACATATCTGTAGCCAAAATACTTGAAGAGGGCCTTACCAACACACCCTCAGTAATACTCCTCTCACAATACCATCTCTCTGTCTACTCATCAACTTGGCAGAGTATTTCAAAACCTTTAATCTACATCGTAATTATTATATTTCAGATATGATCATTCTGATGCAGATAGAAAAAAAAGATCAGGATTACAGAATCTAGATCTGTTGGTCAACGTTGTGCAACATTTAATTCACACAGGTGTGAAAATGTTGGGAAGTGTTAAGAAATTTGTATATTATTCATATTTACTCCAATTATTGTTTAAAAAATTGACCAGACCAAAACAGAGGTTCCATAGTGTAGTGGTCATCACGTCTGCTTTACACGCAGAAGGTCCTGGGTTCAATCCCCAGTGGAACCAGAATTATGTCCCATTACCTTCTGACTGTTGTGAATTGTGGAGCTGTAGCCAAAATACTTGAACAAGCCTTACCAACATCTTCGGTGAAACTACTCTCGTAATACCAGTCTATCTGAGATCTTTTCATCTACCAATCATCTGGGCTGACAATTTAACCTTGTAATCCTTGTAAGCCATCCCAGACGAAACTGATCTTTTAGGTTTTGTCAGTTTTTTTCAAAGAATTTTTTTAGATATGATCATTTTGATCCAGATAGAACAAGATTGTAAAGTCTAGATTTGCAGTCTTGGGATGTGTTGCTCAACGTAATGCAACATTTAATTTACACAGGTGTGAAAATGTTGGGAATTTCACATCGGAGAGTGTAGTGGTCATCACGTCTGCTTTATATGCAGAAGTTCCTAGGTTCAATCCCCAGTGGAACCAAAACTTCAGATTTCATTATAAGATGTCAATTGATGAGTTCAGGATTTGGAGGTGTTAGCAGTGATATCTGTCAAGAGAATACATGTGCTGAAAAGTTAATTAGAGTTTTAACAACAAAACTTCCATGTTCTCGTCTGACTCTGCAAGCACAAACTAAACTGTATTCAAAACCACATAGTAGGCAGATAAATTATGACTTTTTAGTGGTTGATCAGCAAATAACTCTTCTCACAGAACTTCCATAGTGTGGGCATCATGTCTGCTTTACACGCAGAAGGTCCTGGGGTCAATCCCCAGTGGAACCTGACTTATGTCCCATTACCATCAGACAGAAATGTTCCACAATCAGAGACTCTGTGAACCCACAATCTTTTATCTCATTGAGTTGTGAACACAGTTAAGTCTTTGCTTCTAGAGTCACACCACAACACAGAGGTTTACTTGTGTCAACTTCAAATCTAAACATTCTAAACAACTTTCTAGCAGTTACAACATCGTCATTGCAGACCTCTGTGCAGATCCCCTCATCTATTAAGGTAAGGTAAGGGACATGGGTCCCAGGACCTTCTATGTGTAAAGCAGA